CATGCACATGCACATGCACATGCAAATACACATGCACATGCAAATACACATACACATACACTGATGTATCCATATGCATATACATATACACACACTTATGCATATATAATATATCTATAGAGATATGCATTATATCGTGGCAATGTGCAAAAACTTTGATCCTTTTATACATGTGTACAACTATTTCCAATCCTATACAAGAAATAATAGTATATCATGCGGGATATTTTCTTATAGTTTTCTATAATTAGGGCTTTCTGAACCAAAAAAAACAGGAATGATATCCCACAGTTTCTTATGAACTTTTGATATAGTTGTGTAAATGAATACAAGAGTCAGAATTTTTGCATATGGCATATGGCTGTAAATAAAATATACTAATAAATGTTTTTATGGTGATAATATAATAGATTTAAATAATAATTATGTATTAAACTAAATTTACAATCATAAATATATATAATATATGTAACGCTGCATCAATGTCATATTTCTTTGTCATGTTTAATGTAACCTTTTTTGTTGCTGCTGCTCGGCATAAAATATTAAGGGAAATCGGAAAGAGGTTATTAATATTTATGTATCAGCAAGAGAGGGTGATGGACACCTTGTTTTTCTTTTGTTATTTGACAAGATTAGAATTGTCAGTGAGTCCTGATACTTACCTATCTTTATTTTTTTTGGAAAGACAACCGGTTCGTGACCAACGACTATGACCAGCAATGTAACCCCAAAAGAAAATATATCGACTTTAACACCATATTTTGCTTTATAGTTAAAAGTGTCTAGATACGTTTCAGGTGCAGAGTATGCAGGAGTACCACATCCTGCTGTAGCTGCTTGGGCCTCTCCACCACCAGCAAATACTTTAGCAACCCCCAGATCTGCAATTTTTGGTTGGCCATCTACTGTCAACAGAATGTTCTTAGTAGCAAGATCTCGATGTACCACGGGGGGGCTTTGTTCATGTAGATATTGCAACCCTTCAGCAACTCCTATAGCAATTGACAACCCTTCACTTGGACTAACTTTAGGAGTACTTGTGGACTTCTCAATGTAATGAAGAAGATCACAGTGCAGGAGTTCCATAACGATGACCGGTGACTCGTTTGGCGGGAAAAGGACCGTGTGCATTTTGACGATGTTTGGATGTTTCAACTGTCGAAGTACTTCCCACTCTTTTCTGAATTCACCAATATAGTGATCTATTGCTCTCTGCCCATATTCCGCTTTCAACAATTCTGGGTGAAGTTTCTTGGCCGCCACCTCCTGCCCGTTCCATTCTGCCAGCCAAACTTCGCCGTATGAGCCTTTTCCAATTTGATTTTTGAAATCGATTTTATCCTTTGGTCGAGCTTTGGAGTACCTAACAGACATGTTCATTCGTATTTGGCTTTAACAAGGCATTGATCATTATTTTAAAACTACCTAACATACTCCTGCCTTCAAAGAATTACCACTTATTGTTAGAATACACAGGCTTAATGGATTTTCCACTAATTCTTTCGATTAAGACTAACTCAGGATACTTGAAATAAAATGCAACATAAATTTCTTGGAACATACTGAACAGAATGGTACAGAATTCTAAGAATTGCAACGAAGCATAGTTAATTTGGTCTAAGTTCCCATAATGCTATTCGGGGGTTGTGAAATAAATTGAAGTGCGTTACCATTGGATTAACTATGCCAATCCGTTATACCAATCCGTCGTAGATCATGGACTTACATTTTAATATTTTTTTATTGATTATCTTATGATTATTTAGCAAAATTGAACTAAAGATATATGATTGATTGGAGATGCGTTTGATGCTTCAAACTAAATGTTAGAGGTTTTCGGTTGATTATTTTTAAGAAAGAAATGTTTTGAACAAAAGTTCAAAGTTCATTGTTATCTGTCCTATGATTGGACCATTGGGTATCGCGTGAAAGTCATAAGACTTCTAGGGGAAAACCTGCGTGTTTCGGAACTGACACGCATAATATAATTTGCCTTCAAAACTTTTAAACTTTTAAATTTGGGATTTATTGTAATCCCCTTGTCCAATCAGAATCAAGTAATTTTGTTAAGTATTTTTTTAAATTTATTATAAGGTGTAAACTCACTTCCTATTAATAAAATAAACTTGTAATTTAAAAAGTACTGTTGGATGCCGCTTGACCTTTATGTTCTTTCAGTCCATATTAATTGAACGCCTTCGATAGGTTGATTTTCTTGTTCATTCGTGTTACATTCGATATTGAGCTATTAAGTTGAAAATTATCAGAGAATTTGTGTATAGAATAGGCTTTGATTATCTTTTTTTAACAGTTAGTGCTAAAATAAAAACAACTCGTCGCGTGCTTCAACGTAGCGTTTGTGCTACCCGTGACTAAATTTACCCAACTTGTAACACATTCCTTCGCCATCTTCACTTCCATCAGCATTAATTACAAACCCTTGATGTATTTGGTGATCGATAATGTCAACCTAAGAACTTTTGCAGAAGGGACATATATAGTTTTTCCATGTTCTGCTTTTGTTGGGAGGTGACGGTAGTCTTATCATGCTTCCTGCCTCTCGCTCTTCAAATGCGATATCTTCTGGGCTGACTGTACTAATGAGAGCTTCAACCATCTTCTTGTACATTGCCATTACACTGTCAATGTCTTTGGCGCTTGTTTCTACATAAGGACACTGGATGTTTCCGGCATATTCTAAAGCTCTTTCTTCAGGAACTAAGTCTTCTGGCTTCACGTTTTGTCTCAAGTCTACTTTGTTACCCACAAGGAGTATCTGTACTTTTTCTTTATCTTTAGATTTATATCTATCGATCATATCAATCCAAAATCGAATATTTTCAAATGTATATTTCTTGGATACATCATAAACCAGAAACACGCCATCCACGTCTCGTACATAACTAGGGGGTAGGGAAAAATGACGTTCCTGCCCTGCAGTGTCGGTCACTTCCATCCTGACGTAGCTCGAGTCGTATTGAAACCATTGCCTTATGGGACTAATTCCTATTGTCAAGACTGTGTTAGTTATATCATATGCTGGATTTTTTAGCAGCTCATGTAAGCAGGTTTTCCCGGTGTTGCTGTTGCCTAGAAATAAGACTTTAAACTTATAATGATAGTGGGGTTGAGATGGAATTTTCTCAAAGGGGACAAAAGAATCTGTTCTGGACAAATTTACAGTAGTGTTTTTCGGTTGTGAGAGAACACTGCTACAACGCTTTACTTCGTTATCATTTCTTATCCTTTTCAGTTCTGTTACTAATGTGCTTGCATGTGGTCTGGAGGAACTTTTGTCTTTAAGGCAATCTAGCACCAGTCCTTTAAGTTCATGTTCTCCCATCGCTTGAATGTCATTTTCTCTCCTCTTTACTTCAGGAATTTTATAACCATCTACAAATCAATTAAAATCAGTGTTAAGAGGATTGACAATGCTTTGCGTAACCTGTTTTTTTTTTTTTTTTTTTTTTTTTTTTTTTTCTTATTAGAAGGAAGATGATATCGGAGGAACACATTTCTACTTCATGTAAAATACATTTCAGAGAGTACAAAGTTGAGGTGGACTTTCACTTTCATATCGAATAGATCTGCTTCAAACCAGTGTGTATTTATTGGAAAACTGTACCTAGGATAAATTTTCACGATAGCACTGCTTGCATGTAATCTAATACTAATAAATAAGATATGAATTGATATACTTGGAAAATATTAGAGATAAAATACTTATATATTGCTAGATCTAATTGCATATATACTGTTGTTTCACAAATGTAGTGCTTGCACTCTAACCCCTTTTAATAGGTTAGAAACTAACCCCTTTTTCCAATAGTACTCAGAGCTACCTTAGCAATGTATAATATACTCTAATTAGTAGTTTATATTATACTGTATTGGTCTGAGAATTTGAATTAATCGATGTCAATGGTGGTCATCTGCAGTCAACCACAGCCACTCAACTACAGGGAAGTGGAGAGTTATATTAACTGAATAATTTGCATAAACTATTTTCACATCAATAGCAGTCTTTGTATGAACTTTCCAGTCTCTAGTCTTCTTTCACTTGTATTATAGGATTTAGTGTCGCACTTTCTACTTATGATGGCCAGCTTTTAGTACTTTTAATTCATTGTTTTTACTCACATTTAAAGAATAGCAGAGAAGGAATTAATAAATAAAATGAAACAAAGCCGTGCTTACCCTTTATAGGAGACACAGGAAATACAACAGGCTCGTGACCAATAATAATGACCAACAATACAACACCAAAAGAGAAAATGTCGACTTTAACTCCATATTTTGCCATTGTGCCAAACCACTTAGTCTGCGTTGGGTAAGTTTCAGGCGCAGCATACAAGGGAGTACCTGGCTTTGCTGTAGCAAAATCATCCTTGCCAGCAGTAAATACTTTAGCAACCCCCAGATCTGCAATCTTTGGTTGACCATCCACTGTTAGCAGAATGTTCTTAGTAGCAAGATCTCGATGTACCACGGGGGGATTTCGTCCATGTAGATATTCCAACCCTTCAGCAACTCCAAGAGCAATTGACAACCCTTTACTTGGACTTACTTTAGGAGTACTTGTGGACTTCTCAATGTAATGAAGAAGATCACAGTGCAGGAGTTCCATGATAATAACCGGTGATTTGTTTAGTGGGAACAGTACTTCATGCATGCGTACAATGTTCGGGTGGACCAAATCTCGTAAAATTTCCCATTCTTTCTTGAGTTCACCAACATAGTGGTCCCTTATTTCCTGTCCGTAATCTCTTTTGAAATACTTTTCAAGGATTCGCTTGGCGGCTACTGATCTTCCATTCCAGATGGCAGACCAAACCTCACCATATGAACCTTCTCCAAGCATCTCTACATACTCGATACTAGGCTCATACGAGATGTCTAAAGGAACCAATTTCTTTACACTCATAGTGTCTCAGTAGCTTAGTTTCGTTTCGATATTCAGAAGCGTTCATATGCCTATTTCCGGKTTATAAAAAACTACGAAAGAGAGAACTGTACGGGCCTATCCAACTGCCACCGGCTGCAAAAATCTTAATTTAGATGTCAATATTACTGTTCAAACGTGTCAAAGGTCTCGGTTGAGGAAAATGATATCTTCTTTCACCTAAATATAGCGACTACAAAGCGGAAACAAGGACCGAAAGATTTGAGATGGTTAAATTACCATCACCAGCATCAGTCTTCCCGACATGCTCTTGACGATTAACAACATTATTATCTTCAAATTACGTGTCACATTCGTTATTATTATTACGATTACTGTTGTTTGTTTGTTTGTTTTTCGTCATTATTTTTTGTTCATTCGGTTATAACTGTTTGTGTGTATATAAATAAATATATCCTTGATATGTATCTAACAGTTTTGTCTGTATCTGTTCAGTAATAAGATGATATTTACCTGATCATCAAAGCAAAGGTCGTCACAGTCGCCTGTCGTTGCGTAACGTAAGTTATATAACAGTGAACCTGCTATGGTCAGATGCCAGTGTACTTAATTTCCCAAAAACTCAGTTTTTGTCACGAACGACGAAATTGGTATATATCGTATTGTTATATATCAACTGTCAAAGTCCATTTTTCTCGTACTCGAGACACCGAAAATTACATAAGAGAGCTGCGGTTCATTCTATCATCCAGAAATTAAACGGCATAGAAATAGGTACAAAAGAAGAATCTCTAAGTTTATAGGACACTATTGGATATACCCAAGTGTGTTTTCATAAGAACAAAAAGGGAAAGAAAACGTAACAAAACAAAAAGGAATACGTTACCATTGAAATTTTTTTTTTTTTTTTTAAATGTCACGTCTATATGTAAAGGCTTGAAACTAAAAATTGATATGTAAAGAGTGTAAGCGATTTCTCAATTCCTTTGCTGAATTCCCATTGTTAATACTTCTTTTTAGTTACCTGAAAGTCTCAGTTAGATACGTTAACATATGTATTGATAGTCTCGAGAAAATGACAGATGGACTAAATTTTCTATATAGTTTGCAAAAACGAACTGTTTAACAGATGAAGACAATCAGCCAGGTAATTTTTCCCAACACCTGTTTATTGCAACCAAACATAAGTCATTGTTTACGTATATTTGCTTCCTTGTTGACGTTATTCCATATTCTCTAGCAGGGACCAGAAAAGCCTTCTACATGACATGGAGGAACTACAGGAATAAAAACAGAAGGAAACACAGAAGTTAAAGGGAGCAAATTTTCATATGCTTTTCTTTTTCACTTGAGGATTAATATGTATGAGTGTAAATGGTATTATACCACGTTTGCTATTATATTGTGCATGTAATTTTTATAAAAAGGGGCAGCGCGTTTTTTCGGCACGTACGTAAAATACAGCGCAAAAATAAATATATCGCAAAATACAGCGCCAATCAAATTGCAGGATGAATATTCGTAATTATTCATTATTTCTTACCTTGAATTTTTTGCGCTTCCGTGCATTATTGTTGAACCTGCCAAGGGCCTTCACGCATCCAGTACCAGATGACACCTGGGTTTCTTTCTTTCAAGTGCCCATCAATCCACGGTGCGGGATGGGAACGTTTATATGGTGCTAGATGTCGGGTGATAGAAAAGTGTGGAATGAGTGGTCATACAACTGTTTAATTATTGATATATACCCTTATATGATAACCATTTCTCATCTAGTCTTGCTCAAAGCCGACCTTTCTTTCTGAGACTCATAGCGTCACGAGTAGCAATTGAAAAATGAGCGCGTTGGTGTTGCGAGAGGTTGACTGGTTGGGCTGCGCGCGTGAACTATTATGGAAACAAAGGACTTTGCGAAAGTCTACCCTTTCTGTTTAAAGAATGATTGCGAGACAAACAAACATAAGAACACAAAAAAAGACGTTAAAAGGGCCCGTTAATGCACCGATTAGTCTGTCTATTATAATTTCTATTAGAAATAATTAGTATAAAAGTATTTTTAACTCAAAGTTAAAAATAAAATCTCAGAGTTTCTTTCATATGAGAGCCAGTCATTAAATTTCTTCTTATTGGCTTGTTGTTTACATGTATAATAAGCATCAATTGATACAAGAGAGGGTCGGTTCATTGCTCACGCTTTGGCTAGCTTTTTTTTAACTTCCATTTTTAGTGTCATCATTAATAAATGGCTAATTAACATGCCAAGTCTAGCTCTCTGAAACGGTACATATGTCTATGCAATACTTGACGTTAACTTGCGTCATTATTTACCTGCAATGGTACCCCAATAGTTTAAGAAAGGATCCCCGGATGTGGTTAGCATTCCAAACTTAATTCGAGGTATTCGTTTGATCCAAGGCATTCGTTTTTCTATCCCATTGTCTGCATAATCCCAGTCATCAAATTTTTTAATGAGCTTGACGTTAGTTTGAGCATTTGTAGTCGCTGTAAATGTGTAAGATCGATCTGCCTGCCATATTCCACCCCAACGACCTGGAAGAAGAGAATAACCATCTAGCATGATAATCAATCTTTTATTTATCTTTTTATTCGTGTCCTTTTGAATAAGTTCTTATTACTTGTGAATAATATATAAAATATTCAGTATTCCTGCTGTTCGTCAGGATTTCACACTCGCGCGTTCGACCACTACGTACTACATTTATGGTCCATAACTGTTAAACTTTTATTCAATCTCGTACCCAGAGCCTGAGTTTCTTCTGGCCTGCGTTGAAGAACGAGGGCTCTGGCATAATCCATTTTTTGAGACCAGGATTTCTTGGACTTCCGGTATAACAGCGCATGCGTTCAAATACTTGCCAAAAACTAAAAATATTTTTTCCCCAATTTCTAATTCGTGCTATAATTTTTAATTTGATTTTGAGTTCGATTTAATTTTTACTTTGCTTATTTTGACCGTTTATATCTCACTTTCCGAAAATTGCGCATGCGCCAAAATATGGATTATGCCAGAGCCCTAGTTCTTCGCCGCAGGCCAGAAGAAACGAAGGCTATGGGTACGAGATTGACTTTTATTATAAAGTGTTGTGTTGCGTGCGTATCCAACTTGACGGGCCACAAAACTGAAAAACGCAAATTCAGTAAAATTGAGAAGCCAGTTTTATATTTAAAGAGGAGAATAATCTATTTTTTCTGATTTCTTATCGAAACATCTCATAGAAATGTATGATAATTCTCATTATAAAGCTCCTGTTCTGGTATCGTGGCTCGTCAAGTTCCTTACATTTAGATGCGCACGCAACCTTGAGAAAACGGTTGGCGGCTCTAGGAGATTGGGGAAGAGGGAAAAAAGAATGGGGAGGGAGAGGCCGAAGGGAGAAAGGAGAGCCTGCACTCATCTCCTGGTTTTCGTGTATCGCCCACTTCGACATATCAAATTACTCAACCAATCAGAGTTCTCCCTCCCCCTCCATCCTTCACTTTTCCCTCTTCCCCAATCCCCTAGAGCCGCCACGCAGGCTACTATTTAATCATAGGGTGGACGGTTACGTACCGCCGTGAAAGGACCATCTAATATAAAAGAAAATGTTAGGGTGATCAAAGTATGTGAGAAACGCCCTGGATAAATATTGTGTGTTCTAAATTAGGAGTATTATTAGTACTAGCATAATAATAATAATAATAATAATAATAACAACAATTTTATTTCAAGAGGGTAAGACACATAACAGATACGCAAGGCACTGATAAACTAGTGGCCCTCAAAGAGAAAAAGAAAAGAAAAAAATTATAAATTAATAGATATAAATAAATATATATATATATATATATAATGTATATAAAAAAAGATAAGCAAATATATAAGAAATATAACATAATATATAAAAAAATTCATTATTCAATAATGTAATAAAACTTAATTAATTGAATTAAAACGTAAATTATTTAATATTTATAACATTAATTAATAAGACTGGTGATTGTACGAGTAAGAGCCCTTGATAAATAACTTGTTTATTCTGGATGAAAATCCARGTATATATTTTAATTTTTTTAAAGCATTATCTGCAATTATTTTGAAATAAATATTTATTAATAACCTCGATGCACGCCACAGGATACCCGCCACAAAGAAGTACCAAGTTTTCTCACATTGAAATGCTTTTGGCTAAGTAATGCATTCTTTTTATTTCATAACCGTTTCGGTCTCAAGGGACCCTTTGTATTCGAGAAAGCTAATCTCTCGTTCGCCATGTTGAAGACTGAAGTCAAAAAGGATTCCAGTTCACCAAACAAGCCAAAGAATTGGTCTATGACAGCTGCTACAATGCTGAATCATACGTAAGATGGATTAGATACATTTTATTACTTCTCAGTGTTATTTTTTAAAGTAATTCTGATGGCAAATTCATGAAGCATAGTTCAGACTAACTTAGATTTTGATACGTTTGGACAATTTGAAAAATAGCTAAAAACCAAAGCGATTGACTGCTACGAAATATACACAGTAAAATAACTTTGAATTAATATAGATTAATACTAATAAACCTGAACTTTTTCCAGTCATTTGAAATAACATTTCATGTTATTTTTATGAGAGATTTCTAAATGTTTATATTACGCGGGTTGCCTGTGGTTTATCGATTATGTTCAGTAAGTGGCAGATATTTGAGTTACACGGTTCTCTTTAAATAATTGTTTCGGTTCGAGACATTAGGCTTAGTTCAATTCCATGAAAAGTATAGAAAATGAAACAAAGGTAGCAATTGTTTGAAGGCAATAGAGTGTAGCTCTAATATCTGCTACTATTGTATTTTATCATCAGTTAAATAGCGAGTGCATACCATATATCCGTGAAAAGTTTAACTAGCATTATTGTACAAATGATTACAAAGCTTTGCAGGTCCCCGGTCCACTAAGGTCTACTCAACTTACTAATTTGTGCAATTTCTAAGAAAGTTTTTCATGGATGTAAGGTATGCATTTTATACGCTCACCTCGTGTTTGAGCTTCTAGTCGATATTCAAAAGTAGTTCCAACGACATTGATGTTATTTTTGATATCATCAGCATACTTGAGTATCGAGTAGTCTTGAGATAGAGAAGGTGACATTACGTTTCTGAGTATGATATTTTGATCAGTCCAGGTATTGGTTCGGCTGGTGACCAATAGCGTCCAACCACCTCCGTCACGTGACATGTCACAATAGGCTAAGATAGGTTTACTGGAAAGCCCATGGGGATAGATCGTGTAAATTGCATCCGGAAGATCTAAGTTGTTAGAGATTGCTTGCGTCTGAAGATGACGGCATGAATGGGCCTCTAAAAGTGAAAGAATGATTGATTTATCAACACAACACAACACATCTCAACACAACACCAAATCACACCTTATTGTCACAGCATATCACATCACTACACCACACGATATATCATTTCAAGTCATACCATGTCAATCAAATGAGTCTGAACCTTATTGTTGTGAACCTGGATGAGATTTACTGAGTCAGCCTTGTTGGGGTAAACATGGATCATATCCCAGTTATTTTTTCACTTACTTGGGCAAGGAACCTCGTTACACTGCTGCTCCTGTTGCTTCATGCCTTGGCAATCCTTGCCGCCGTGCTTTGGAGCAGGATTGGTGCAGAATCGATGGCGACTCTGTTTGCCCGTATCACAGCCCTTGTCACATATAGACCAGTTAGTCCATGGGGTGAAGCCTCCATCAATCGGTTGAAAGACTAAACAATGCAGAAAAAGTTAATAATGATGAATTAATAAGGTTGCATAGATAACTGGTTGCCATCAAGGCACCATCAACGTTAGCTTTGATATGGCATGGATTAGAGTAGCGATTGTTCCAAAGCGGAATAGTTTAAAAAGTAAGGATATGGCACCATTTGTGCAGTGTGATTATAGGTAGATGTGATTATAAGGATTATAAGTATTATAGGAGGCAGGTCTGGACCAGCCTCTTTCTAACTTGCTCACTTCAAATTCTAATAGAATATATATCAGCTAACTTAAATTTGTTATATTTAATCTAACTTCGCTACCTTTTTCACACGCGGTTTCAGGATCATATCCAGAGTGACAATGACAAGTGCCAAGACTTGTACACCTCTAGGGATAAAAAGGTAAGATGTAAATATGCATATTAATCGATCGACAGTGTGGGTGGAGCGTTATATAATCCTTTCTGTAGCGCACAAATATGATTCCAGAAAACAAATGCTTAATAGCAAATTTATGTATACCTCTCTCGATGCAGAAATTTAAAWGTATCTTTAATTTCAGTGCCAGTATTTTGGTATAATAGATTGAGATTAGTTTAGACGCTGGACTAAGATTAAGATTGGCTGGTTATTTTTGAATTCTAAAATATATTAAATCTCGTTGACGTACATTCGTTAGGTACTCAGTTTTAGTAATTCACTTAAGTTTTGGGCCAAAATCTTTCGACCTGCAGACCATCCAGCATGGGATATAGACCTCTTGCACTGAGTCTTGAGAGGAATTGTTCTGGGGGACAAAACAATAGGCCGTCTTTTCTTATGCAAAAAAAAATCATTGTTTTGTCCCCCAGAACAATTCCTCTCGGGACTACGTGCAAGGGGTCTATATCTCATCAACACACCCTCTTCGTTAATCCCCCTTAGTCACTTACCCCTCTCCCGTTACACTCGAGGCCGTTTGCTGATGGACAGTTGGTGATGTTTAGCTCTCGGAACGACTTGCATTTAGAATTCATGCACATCTAAGATTCGATACAAGATTCTTCATATCATTGGGAATACGTGAGTAATCAAAATATTTCATATTCATGTTTATTTTACAAAGGCTTTACCTTTTGGTCGCCACATTTTGTTCCATCCTTCACCATTCCTTGACCAACCATATCGGACGTTTTGAGTACCGCGGCGCTAAGTAAAGTGGATGGATTAATTAATTGATAGATATCTGATATGTATCTTATGATTCATTTCATAACTAATAAGTCACCCTATAGAAATAAAATTATCTTGCGACAATGATGTTAACGAGTTATTCGCTTGCTCTTTGTGTGCCTAAGATAGAAACTCTTTGTGAACCATTAAATAGTCCCCTTCACGGTTCCCTGCGCCATCTTGGCCTTTGCATCGAAGCGAGACGAACGTTGAGCTTGCAATGATAGAGACCTGTGAATAATTGTCCAAGGTGTTAAAAAAGGTCTCTATCATTGCAAGCTCAACGTTCGTCTCGCTTCGATGCAAAGGCCAAGGTGGCGCAGGGAACCGTGAAAGGGACTATTGATGCATGGTCATAAAAATAGTGGTGAATATCCATGATGATGATGATGATCGTACGGATAATGCCTTGATGACAATGATTCTGATATTAGTTGGTGATGGTGGTGATATGGTGTTTTGATATGTTGATGAAGGTTATATTTCTTTGCACTGAATTATTAAAAGTCTGTTCTATTTACCTGCATCGAGAAGCACTTGCATCATTAAGTGTAATTTGCTTGTAACTTTTACCATAATCCACCCCAGGCCTTGCATTTTTTGTCGAGCATTGAATTTGACCACAAACAGCATCACTAAAGGAAGGAATAAAGAAAAGTTTCCTGGCTTGAGTTTCCGTGCCTAATCAAAATCAATGGACAAATGAAAATACACCAAATTAATTCGCATTCGATGCATATTCCTTTTGCACATGCTTAGCCTCGTTTATAAGCCAGCTATTCACAGATACCATTAAAAGTCCGTGGGATTTCAACACAATGGTATTGTTCAACCTGCACATAATTTACATTATAGCTGACTTTAGCTCGTCTGACAGGCTAAGCTTGTGCAGAGAAGTCTCCAGTCAAGGAACTATTAGATATTAGATTAACTTATTAGATTGCACGTACGCAGCTGAGCAGGATGAATTGGTCGTGGCATCACACGTTCCGTATCCCTTTGCTTCTGTGTTCAGCTTCTCATAGCAGGCATGATTCGCACTTTCACTTTCTGATGGTATCAAAAATGTATAAAGAATGTTTATATGTAAACTTATAGTTTTCAATATTGAATAAGTGATCAGATGATAGCTGGAAGTTTAAGTGTTTCAAATTTTGCAAAATGTTGCACATTGTTAGTATTTGTATTATAATAATGGAATGAAAAACATCGATACAAAAGAGTGCAGATCAATTGTTCATTACTTACTAGGTCCCCAAAGGTCTCTGCACTGGGTATTTCTCGTCTCTGCGCACTTACCAGTAAAGCAGTAAGACTATAAAAAATAACACAACTTAGATACCCTCATGCAAATGTGATACAAATGAGCCAATTTGAAATGCTTTACGGATCGTAAGCAACCAGTGTTATGTTGCTTACGTTCGAGTGTGCACTATCTCCACTTTCACTGTACCCAGTCCAACGCTGTCCATCTTGACTATAGTATACAAAGTAGCCCGTAACCCAGTTGTACCAGTTTCCTCGTCCTTGTATGGCAACTTTGGATATCCTCATTGTCTGGATAAAATAAACAAAACAAAATTTGCCACTCTTCCCGTAAACGTTTACATATCCATCGATTCAGATACTCAGAAATAACGTTTTTTACTCGTTTGTAGGCTGCAAGCCTCTAGAATTTGTTAGATATATACCTTTCCAGTTCTCCGGGCTCTCCGCTTTTCATCCCTCGCAAAGCCTCATTAACACGACAAATTCCATTTGGCGCGCATCCGTTAGTTAGTCGTAATTTTACTTAGATCAGGGCATTGATCGATAAAATAAAGTTGTTTTTCTATTTCTTTCTTTCTTTCTTTCTTTCTTTCTTTCTTTCTTTTTTTTTTACAGTAAAAGGCGCTATCTTACCTTGTTAAAGTTAATCTGTAAGTACTCTGATTTCTTTTGCTGTGCAGCACACCAGAAGCTAGCCAGGTGCAAACGACCATGATAAGGACGCTCCGAGTGCCGCGATGACGATGCTGTGATCTGCTCGTTTGTGATTTTCAAATTCTGCATACACAATGGATAAATGCAGTCTAGATTTACAAAAAGGAAAAAAACTTACAGTCTTACAATTTCTTTGAGTAGGGGTTTACATATATTAATCTTTCCTGATGTTTTTTAAATATATTTTTTTGCTAAAATTGTATTTTTAATTTAGTGAGTTTTAATAGCAGGGGGGGTTTTCTCGGTTAATCAACAGTATCCGGCTTACATACTTTTTATGTAAAGTTTGGTGTTATTATTTTAATGGAGAAGCAACTTTAAGATTCAATTTGATTCACACAGCGGATTAAAGCATTTAGTTCCAAAGAGATACAGAGCCGAGAATGTACAGCTCAAAATTTAAAGGTGGCTTGTATCACCATTGTACGAGACATGGAAAACTACCTGGTTTAATAAACCAAATCTCAAGTCGCTGTAGTCCACACCCAGCCCAAAGTCCAAGATGTCGACCATCAGCCGGCCAGGCTCCTATTGGGTGGATGCACTTTCCACTTCCCACATGCTTGAGCGACCTCTCTGTTTTCAATGTTGAGAAATAAATCCACAAACTATTGTCAGGGAAAATAAGGTTTTAATTGGGGAGTGGGAGGGGGGCTTGCGGAATTGCAGTAAACGATTTAAAAACGGTTGTTGCCCTCCTTCACTCAATAAGAAAAATCATGACCATTCTATTAAGTCAATAAGGAATATCTAAATATCTATTTTTACTATCCATCCTCGAATCACAACCCGCTACTAATGTTTTTCGGAATTTCATATCTTTCATCGCTTACTTGGTGTTCGGACAAACTTGGAATCTTCGTCTTTACACGAACTACTAATGACCAACCTCGCGCCATTCTGCGTGTTCCCGTTTTCAGGACAAACTCTTCTCCCACTGCAATGATGCCACAGTATTCCGTTTGTATCTAGTCTGAATTTCATATACTCTTCCTTACATTCATATCCGTATTTGAAGATCACTTTTGTGTTTTCTTCTGGGATGCATTTTTGATCTTGAGGCACGATACAGTAGTTGTTGTAGGGTTTTAGAGGTGTAGGAATGGCTGCATTAGCTGAAGCAAAATATTTACAATGGCGCATATGAATCATAAACTAAAAAAAAATTTAAAAATGCATTTATTATTTCAAAGCACGGTACAATATTTGTAGAACGGTTTGAGATTTGTAGGGATGGCTGCATTAGCTGAAGCAAAACATTTACATTGGCATATAAATCACAAACTAAAAAACTATTATGAGCTGCGCAAATAACTTTTGGTTATTTATTTCGTTCATACCTTCGTCAGCAGAACAGCCATATAGTTCTGCACGCATGCAAATCCATTTATGCCAATACTGAGGATTGATTCGAACATGACGTGCTTCTATGTGAGGAGATAGTTCACTTGCTACAACACTGTACCAGTTGGTGTTGCCTGGAAGCAACTGAAACGAAATTAAACGCCCAATTTCAGTTGCTGACATGAATAAAGACGTTGCCTGGAGCTGTGGTACAGTGCAGGAAAGGGTTAAAAATATAATAAATATAAAGTTGAAGGATCCGATTTCTTGCAAATTTACACCCTGAAACTGAAACGTGCATGTCTTTATTTAATAACCTGAAAAAATAAATTTTTAACGCTTCGGTCAACAAACATTCGGAAATGGCAGACATTCAAATTCTATACATTCATTAGATGATGTTAGTTTACCTTATTTGTTCTGTTGCATGGGGTTCCATCTTGTAAGGATATGTCAGCTGGACACTAGAACAAAAGAGTCCATTTAATGGTCGCACTCCAAATCCATTATAAGATTCATAAAAGCTTTAGAAAATAGTGTTTATATTGAAGCTAGTGCTGGTTGTGGGGTTTGACAAAAATCAAATTTATTTAGATTGTTTGCTTATTCTTAGGGTGCATGCTACCCCATAGCCGCCATGTTGATCGACGATAACCAAGCATTCCTCATTAGCTTCTCGTTTTATCGATCAACCAACATGGAGGCTGTTTCATTGTTATTTATATTTCGATGGATTTTGAGGCATGTGGTTGCACTTCAAAAATAACTGAATAGCTTCTTTTTATTTAATAAATGGATATGGTTTGTGTGTCTTCCATGCAACACTTTCAAGATTAGTACAGTACTCACATCTCTAGAATCTCCAGGGCAAAATTCTGGTACATCACAATCTGTCTTTACTGGTCTGCAAAGTGTTCCTTGTCTCTTGAACTAAAATCATACATACAAAAAGAGTAGTTTCAACGGCTCTTTTCCTGAAGTTCAGGTATCTCAGTTTTCGTTCGAAATCTTTTTGCAGTAATGAAAACACAGAAAACAACGACTTTATTTTTTTTATCAAGGCAGCTTTGCAGCAATAAGAAACCCTTTCAGAATTGCTAATGACAACAACAGCTCTTTTTTTACAAACCCTCAAAATTATAACAAATATTCCTCCTTATTAAAAGTACATCGGCAGGGCATGCTAATGGAACTAAATCTTACTCTTCGAGCAGGATACTCATGCTTTAATTTCTATTCAAAATATTTTTAACAAAAAAATATTCTTACTAAGCAGTCTTTACAACAGGAGTGATGTAGATCACTGCAAAGTGCTCCAGGCTTTAGACGACAGTCATGTGGCATGCAGCAAGGGTCCTTTGCTTTACACATCTAACAATAGAAATGAAAACGTCCAAAACTTAGTCTAAGTTGAAACTTTCCATGAAACAAAACAAAGACACCTAATGGCAACTATATTTTCTCGTACTACACCTGGATCAGTGATACAAATGCGAATTGCTATTCTTGGCTTATCAGTTACCTCGGGTGTTCCACAGTCGCATTCTTCGTTTCCTTCTCGAATCCCATTGCCACATTTGGAATTGATAGCCTTTTTAAAAAGCAGAAATTTAAAATGAATTTAAAAAATCAAATTAAAAAGTTAAAGTATTTCATTTTCCTTCTCTAGAAGTCTTTTGCAAGCATGAGTCGCCCTATCCTACCTGTTAGCTTTGTCTTGATAAAGACCTCGCCATTGCAAGGCGATTATAAAGTCTCTTAGCTAGCTTTTATTTATTTAATTATTTTACCTTTGTAGGCACGTTATAAAGGCAACGGTCGTTAATTTTCTTCAAGCCATTCAAGCTGCACTCCGTAAATCCAAGAACTCGAGGACTGTAATATAAAGAAAGAACAGAAAAGAAAAAAAAAACGAAGAAAAAAATTACGATTTAGAAAGGTATAAAAACCTGCTGCTGCTGCTGTTGTTGTTGTTGTTGTTGCTGCTGCTATTGTTGTTGTTTCTCAAATTAATGTTTACTTTGGCCAAAATTTTACAATTGGGAAAATTTCACGTGTTCCTTTAAAGCTTGTGCAACTGCGCTGCCAGATGTTTTTCACGATTATTAGAATTTTATAGTTTAACATGCTAGCCTTGTAAACGTTTTGACTATAAATATRAGAAAGTATCACTAAAAAGTTAAACTACTTTCTATATGTAAAGCAAATGAGATATGACCTTCATACTTGACTTATGTCATACGTTAACAGACACACCATATGATTAGTACAGTTTAATAAAGGAGTAGGAGTGTTTTATCAGATTACAAAACCTCCTTCATGGTCATGATTTCTATTGTGTTTCCTTCATGAATTATTAATGAGTTTTTTAAATATTTTACAAGTTACTGATAACACATTAACTTGCATTTGGGGAGCTGTTTAACAAGTGCGTTTTTCAGTATGCAACTATATATTTCCAAATGTTTCCAGAACAATATTTCAATTTGTCATGTGTGCGAATTTATGGGACATATGGACCATATTCACCACAATTTTAAATACTTTAATTTCTTTTATTCAAAATATGAGAATATAATAACAGAGACATTGCTATCATGTGATGCGTCACAATATATTAAGAACACGTTTTCATATTTCTAAACTATGTTATCTAATAAACACATTAAAAAATAAATTAGATAAGCAGCAAAAACTTACCTTGGGTACAATTGCATTACGCATCCCTTCGGAGAAAGACACTTGCATTCATCTAATTGAAAGAAAGAGATTCAGCAGTTTTTGAAAAGAGTACAAATTCAAACAGATGGAAAAAAAGCAACGGAAACTGAAACATATATTGTTTTCAACAGTTTCCAGTATTAAGTTAGTTACCGGTGTAAGCATGTGGGAAATTAAAATTGTGTCCCATTTCGTGAGCAACCACTACGTATGGTCCAATATGACTACCCCACGCATACTTCCACTAAAATAAGAAGAAGAAAAAACAGTTTGATGCACTAGAATAATTGAGACTTAGGTAAGGTAAGGCCATAGGTAAGGCCATAGGTAAGGCCATAGGTAAGGCCATAGGTAAGGCCATAGGTAAGGCCATAGGTAAGGCCATAGGTAAGGCCATAGGATTAATTCTACATATAAGGAATAGTTTTAGCTATTTGAAAATTTAAAAATTGTAAAATATTGAATATAATGTTGCAAGCGTTTTCAGGTTATAAAGTATGTTAATGGCTGTAACGTCGTTTTAAAAGGCATTCGGATGCATTTGTTGTAATTAGTATTACTAAATTACTGGCTATTATAAGAAAACAAATTTTAAATAACCTTTATGTAAACTATGAGTAAARTKTTAAGAGGCAGTCTCTGTAAAAGCGGCCCACTGCATTTCGGGTCAGAAAATAGTTTTCCCTCAAACTTTTACCATAGAAAGGTAATTACTAGTAAGTAATGAAAATGACTTTATTTTCTCGAAATTCATCAAAATGATTTTTTTACAGCGCATAAATCCTGGACCACCGTTATCACTAAATTTACATTTATTATCAATTGAAAATTGCCCATATTCAAGTCGTCACTGCTCGCAAAATATAAAACGCTGGAACAAACTATTATTTTTCCTGACTTTTACATTCATTCTAGTGTCAAGAATAAGCAAAATTTTGAATGTTAAGCAAAAGGGGAAAAAGGAGAAAAATAAGTATTCATACCCATTTGACGGCTTTTTGAAATCAAGACAAACCATCCTTCACTAAAAAGCTTTTTTCTCCCAAGTCCGGAACGGATTACTTAAGTCTTTTACTTCAATCTACTGACCGAAGGTTGATAAAAGTGGATTCATAAAAACATTTTGCGCTTTTTATGTATCTTCGTCACAGCAACCTCGGACTTTTTCGTGTTTTTACCAAAATGTCTCATGAAATATGCAAATTAAGTACTGAAATAAACTATAACTAACCATTATTACTTGCTTGAATTTTACTATATCCGGTGTTAACACACTAAATATTATCTTATTTTCCATTTTAAACTACTTTGAAGTAAAATCGTCTCCAAAAAATACGCTATGATGCGTTTGACGCGGTATATGAACTGTTTTGAAGTTTATGCAAATTACTTATTGATAATGTAAACTAATTTTTCTAAAATATAGTTTCCAAAACTGTATTTCTCTTCTTTTATTGTCTTGAAATAACCTAAAAACTTGTCAAAAAGCATCTATTTTAATATATCTGATCTTCTTGAACGGCCCAAACTAAGGAAAATAGTCAAAATACAATTTATCAACCACGACGGAATGAACAACTTAGTTCAAAACAAGTGATTAAATACGAATTAAGTCCAAGATTTTAGGTTAATTTGGTAAAAATGTCGGTATTCAATTAATTTAGATATGTCCAAGCGAACGTTTAGACAGGGTAAAAATTTCTCGGTGTAATCGCGCCTTAAAGACGACTCGCCTCCACTGTCCCTTCCTACCCCTCCCCTCAAAGCGCTGCTACGCAGACTATCTAAATGTCACTTACTCCGACGATTTATAAGGACTCAGCGTCCGAAATGTTTCGAAAAGTTTCACAAAGCTTTTTACGGTGAHTCAATTTATCCACGAGTTCCGACTGTTTTATTCAGAAACATCGAACGCAGTCCAAACTAGTATTCTACTAGTCATCACCACTCGTTTATCTAAACGTTCGCTTGGACATATCGAAATTTTAATTGAATGCCGACTTTAGGTATTAGAGCTCTTGTAGCCTGGTATACCTTGTTGTGTTGAATAGAGGCAAGCCTTAGTGGGTCACCAAAAATTTCCAAGGCTAGCCTGTTTTGAAGTTTATGCAAATTGAGTGTTGATACAGTTTGAAATACAGTTTTGGAAACTATATTTTAGAAAAATTAGTTTACATTATCAATAAGTAATTTGCATAAACTTCAAAACAGTTCATATACCGCGTCAAACGCATCATAGCGTATTTTTTGGAGACGATTTTACTTCAAAGTAGTTTAAAATGGAAAATAAGATAATATTTAGTGTGTTAACACCGGATATAGTAAAATTCAAGCAAGTAATAATGGTTAGTTATAGTTTATTTCAGTACTTAATTTGCATATTTCATGAGACATTTTGGTAAAAACACGAAAAAGTCCGAGGTTGCTGTGACGAAGATACATAAAAAGCGCAAAATGTTTTTATGAATCCACTTTTATCAACCTTCGGTCAGTAGATTGAAGTAAAAGACTTAAGTAATCCGTTCCGGACTTGGGAGAAAAAAGCTTTTTAGTGAAGG